CAGGGGCCCTGGTCTGGTGACCTAGGGCAGGCCCAGCCATAACGTTCCTCAGCAAGGCTCCATGATTGGTCTATGAGTGCAGGGGTCAAGAGGCCCACCCTGCCTTCTCCTTGCTATGGTTACGGTCTTTCCTGGAGCCTGCTGACCAAGCGTCAGAACTCATGGGCTTTGCATCACCTCTGGGTCCCTGTTGGCTGACAGTCAAGGTCTGTTAGGAGCTGAGGCTCCTGGGGACTGGGAAGTCATAATAAAGATACTGGTTGGGGCTGGCTGAGGCTTCTGCAGCTCTGCCCTGTAGTGGATCTGGGATATACGGTCCTCTGCTGCTCATAGCCTGTTCAGATGTTGTAACTCTCAGGGGTCTGGCTGGGCACTTAGCAGCTTCCTGTCCTTAGGGGATGTGCCCTGCCAGGCTGGTGTCAAGACTTTCAGGAGGCAGGCTGCAGAGTCAATGGAATCTGGACCTGTCTACGGCTCCTGTGGCCCAAGGTCTCTGCTCTTTAAATGAAAGTGGATGACACCTTTGTCCTTAACCCTATGCTATGGTATCCTGGGCCCAGAACAAGGCAGCTACCTAACTCTATGCTGCACCCCCAAACATCTCCTTTCCTTTGTACTTACCCCTGTGTCTGAACCTTAGGTGAGGTGACAGCCAAGCATGACAAGAACTTCATGTAGCAAATGACACAGCAACGCTGAGACCTGCAGTGTAGCCGTATTGTTGGCCTCCTGTGGGGACCCTCCACTCCCAGGGAAGCTACCAATGACAGTCGATGTCCCCATGAGGACAGCAGTCTTCCAACTCCTCCCCAGCATGCTAGGGTCCAGGCAGAAGAATATCACCCCAAAGGAGGTGAACATGAATATTTGTGGGAACCTTGCTTCTAGAACTTTCTTAATTTACAGCTTCCTCCAGCTGTTTTTTTTTTTTTCCCTAACACACATCAGTTAAGTTCTTAACACAGTTGAGGGCTTGAAGAATGCTAAAAATTTAATGTATGTTAAAAAGGGTATTAAATTCTAAACTAAAATTTGCATGGAAATATGACATTAAAATACTTTTAGCTTTCAGGAAGCTGGGGGCTGTAACACAGACAGATTTTATCTGTTTAAAAAGAATTAGTTTTCCAGTATTTCTCCCTGATCCCAGCAGTCAATGTGTATAGATGCAAGGCCTGCCTGGGGCTGCTCAGCTGAGAGGGGGAAGCAGGGCCAGCTTCCAGGGCTCTTGGAGGCAAAGTGCAGTCAGGGTTTGCCCTGCACTGAAGAGGCCCTGCTGGTGGGGAAGGGTGGCCAGTGTTCTCTGAGAGTGCGAGGCTGGGCTGCATAGCTACCTGTTTCCTGTGCCACAGTGCACAGGCGCCAGGCCCGTGCACATCACCACGTCCATTTCATAGACAGTGGGATGGTACTAAGCTGACAAGATGTTCAGAGAGGCTGAGTCATGGGTGTGGGCTCACACAGCATAGGGAGGTAGATGTTAATTTTTCTCTGTGGATGCCTCCACTGGCTCCCTGGGGCTGCAGCAGGGCCCCAAACTTGTCTTTTCTTTCTCTCCTTCAGCTGAACCCCACTACCAAGACAGCCTCCACCTTACAGTGGCTGAGTTCCAGTAAAAAAGGCATCTGTATCCCTGGCTGTAGTGTGGCCACGACAGGGGCCATCTCCTGGTAACCTTGAGGAGGCCGGGTGAGGTGCAGAAGAGAGCACAGCTGGCCTGGCTCCAGGAGAGCCAGCAGCAGGGGATGTTGGGAGGAAATGGCCACTCACGGCCACCGCACCTTGGGGAGGTTACTCATTGGCAGTTAAAAATCTATTGTGACTTGTCAGAAAAATGAATAAATGGGCACATTAACTTCTGATTCCAGACCTCAGCATGTGTTTGTCTAATCAGGAGGTGAGTGAGCGGCAGCCACCGGGATGGGAGCTTTCCTGTCCGTCACACTGAGAAAGCCACTGACATGGGGAGTCCATGAGTAACAACACTCCCTGGCGGGGCTCTGAATCTCTCAGAGGAATTTGGTGGGGACAGATATTCATGCTTTAGCCTTCCCAGACACCCACTCCCTGCCTGATGGCTCTCACCAGTGGGCTGGGAGCAGGCGGGTGGACAGACAGGGAGAGACATGTCTTGATCCTCTACTGAGAACCTACTCTCCTCAGTCTAGACTGCAGGCAAGCCTGTGGGCATTACTGATTAGTGGTTGTGGAAGGAACCAGCCCACTGTGGGTGGTGCCATTCCTAGGCAAGTGGTCCTGGGGGTTCAAAGAGAGGGTGCAGGCTAAGCAAGCCAGTAAGCAGCATTCCTCTGGCCTCTCTGCATCAGCTCCTGCCTCCAGGTTCCTGCCCGGTTTATTTCATGATGGACTGTGGCCTACAACTGTCAGCTGAATAAACCCTTTCCTCAAGCTGCTTTTGGTCGTAGTGTTTATCACAGCAACAGAAGGAAAGTAGGCCAGGACCCTGAGTGGCTTCCCTTTCCCCATCTGTAAAGTGGGGGAGAGCGTGGCCTGGCATGGCCAAGATTCGTGAAACAGAAATGTGAGCCTACATACAGCCTGTGACATTCAGGCCGGGGTGGACACCGGTAGACATCAGGCAGGGTTGACGAGATGGCTCACTGGGTAAAGGCACTTTCCAACAAGTCTTGTGACCCGGGTTTGAGCACAGGACTCCCATGGTTGAAGGAAAACAAATTCTGGCAAGTTGTTCTCTGACTTCCACATGTGCGTGCCTGCCACCCACAGAATAAAAGGTGACAAAAATAGTCTCACATTTTCCAAAGGTAGTTAATGCCCACCCTGTGGCGTGGCTCTTGGGCATGACATGCTTTTGGGGGTACCTGGATGGGTGGTTTAAGAATGCTTTCCCTTTATGTGTACGGTGTCATGTCTACATGGATGTCTGAGCATCACATCTGTGCCTGATGCCCAGAGGTTCAGAAGAGGGCACAAGATCCCCTGGAACTGGAGTTATAGACAATTGTGAGCTACCTTGTGGGTGCTGGGAACAGAACCTTGGGTCTCTGAGTGATCAATACTCTTAACTATTGAACCATTTCTCCATCTCCCTTTTTGTTTTGAGACAAGGTTTCAGTATGCAGCTTTGGCTGGCCTGGAATTCTCTTTGTAGACCAGGGTAACCTTGAACTCCTGAGGGATCTACCTGCTTCTGCCTTCTGAGTGATGGGATTAAAGGTGTGTTGCACCAGGCTGGTGACTTGGTCCATTCTTAATAGCAAACATATCCAACCCTCACAAGCTCCCTTGAAAGGAACTAGTTTCATCTTCATTTTACAAAAGGGGAAACTGAGGCTCAAGGGAGTCAAGTAATTCACATAAAGGCCCAGCAACTAGGAGCAGTGGGGATTGTAGTACGTTCTGGTGTGGGACCGCATAACTTTATTGGTCCTTACCCACATGTGCTACAGCCCTGGATCTGAGGAGATGGGGAGCCCCTGAAGGCAGCTAGCAGGGATATGACTGGTGGGAAGGACACAGCAGCAGAGTGTTGCCATGTTGCTGGCTGACCATGCCTGAGCTGGGGGCTTCTGGGTCATAGCAGGCAGCAGGTGACAGGTAGTTAGGATGACTAGGTTGGCCAATAGGGACACCATGGGGTCAGAGGTGCTGGCAGAGGCTCAGAGACTAGGCTAGACAGTACTGACTTACCTCTGAGATCAGACTTCCTAGGGAAGCTTCTTCAAGGCAAACACAACCAACCGGTAGGCTGCTTCACGATGGCCCTGAGGAGTGAAGGGCACAGCTCATCTGACGCAGCACCTGGACTGTAACGCCAGGCAACTCAACCCCAGAGTCCCTAACCAGCTGGGAGCCACACACCACCAGTTCTGGAGAGCCGAGGCAAAGATTCCAGTGTCCCTTGAGTAAAGGGTCAACCAGACGTGGCTTTTGTACAGTTTAGCATCAACTGCCAAGGTATCACCCCCGGGAGACTTGCTGTGACATCACTGTCTCTGCACTGTGTGCTCAAGGCTTTAGGAATTCAAAGCAATATACAAAAGAGGGCATTTATGATTTTTATTTTAGTATTTTAATATTGAATATGTGACAAGATTTAATGACCAAATTAGTCATTTACATTTTCAAAGATATCTAAATATAAAATTGCTAAAAATTCAAATACAGAGCAAGCTACAAATAATATTTCTTCTGGGGGGAGATAGGAATGGAAGACATTAGAAAAGGGTGCTCCTGTTGGCTGAACAGATCAAAATGAGAGGCATTCAATCAGTTGACCCCTTTGCAAAGAAGACTCTGAGGTGCTTAGACACAATGATTTTTAAAATGTCCTAAACACGGGTCATATAAGATATCGGCTGTGGCCCTGGCCCAAGACAGGATGCTGCCACAGGCTGGACCATGGTGAGGTCCACAGAGGCATCTGGTGTAGACAGAGGTGTGGTGTGGTGTCAGGGTGCTGGGTACCTTGCCTTTTCTGCCCAGGGCTTGCTCTCCTTCTCCCTGGTTCAGAGCAGCAGCAGCAGCTGTTTCCGGCTCCACAGCAGGCACCGGTAAGAGGATCATAGGTCAGCAAGGCAGGCCCATCACATCATACTTGCTATGAGGAGATGAGAGAGGGCTCTGGCTGGGAACTCAGCACCACCTGGAGACACTGTCACACTATCCTACCAGCACCATCCCTCAGATCACAGGTGCTGACTTGTTGAGAAGTCCTTGGAAGGGGAAATGACAGCCTTGGACACACGCACGCAGGCACGCACGCACGCACGCACGCACGCACGCACGCACGCACGGCACATGCTAGGTTCTCATTCCTGACTTTAGGAAGATGCTATTCTCAAAGCAAATGCACTCATTTAAACAAATGGCACAGTTGAACTACTGGCTAAGCCCTAAACATTGCTTCTGAGAGCTCCAACGACAGCTTTTGTAATTTGCCTGTTCAATATGGGACAGATTTTAAAGAAGACAATATAGTCAAGCCTCCACCCCAAAGAATGGTCCATCATACCAACCATGATAAAGAGTACACCTGTTTATTAAAAGGAAAAAAAGAGAGAGAGATGTACACTTTTGTTCTTTGTTTGCTTTAAGAAATTTGATCAAGTTGCAAGGAGATGTCTGGCATGGCTATGTACATCCTTGGTGGGACTGCCAGGCAGTGCACACGGCTGAGTAGCACTTGGCCCCCCCAGGAGGTGGTCTGGCTCCTGGGCATTGCTACTTACAACCATTGCCAAGTTTCAGTCCAATGGCACCTCTACCTCTAAACCTTCCCCTAGAGCTCAGCAGTCTGTGCCTGCGGGTCTGGGCACTACAGGATGCTGGTGGACTCTGGTCCACCTGGCCTTGCAGGAAATCTGGGCTGTGGCACCAGACTGGAGGCCCCTGTCACTGCTGCCCTGATTTCTTCTCCTTCTGGAAGCTGAAGCTTGTACGTCTGTTCAGTTTTCTTTGTTTTTGAGCAAAATAGTCAGCGCGGGCAGTGCTTGCTCGTGATTCCAGGATGTAGTTAACCTAGAAAGCAAGAGGACATGGTTGTCATTGGCAGCACCGGCTGTTCCCCCAGGGCAGAGCATGGGGTGGAAGAGAGGCCAGGTTTGGACAAGGGATCCTGGGACTAGCTGCTCTGACACTGTACACCATTTTCCCCGATAGACGGGAGGCCCAGTGCAGGCTTCTTAGTCACTGAGCAGTGGGGCTGCTGATCCCTGGGCTTACGTTCTTCGGTGTGGGCTGCCTCCCAGAGTGCTCCCTACTCAGGTTTGTCCAGCCAGCTCCCTAGTCCTGGTTATTACCTGACATCCCCGGCCTCCTCATCTGAAAGAGGAGAACGTGAGGGCAGTGCTCCCTCCGCCTCCTGACAGTCTGGCATGTGTCCTCTAGTGACCACTGTACCCACCAGCCAGGACCAGGTAAGAAAGGTGAGGCTCGGAGGACCGCAGAGGGCTGAGGTCACTGAGGTCAGGATGGACTTCAGTTTGCAGTGTGTGTCTTCACTGGGCCACTTGTGCGCCTTCAGATATGGCTTCCTTGCCTGGCTTTTTGTGAAAACACAATTCTTTCACTCTCGCATGTTTTGAAGGCTTGCCAGAAAGCTCAGCCTTCGTCTGGAGAAGGCAGCCAGAGGCTCTCGAGCAGGGCAGTCATAGACTGAGGCTCTGACAATGTGGCTCCAAACATTCAACAGTGGGGGGTACAGGCACATGGGTACAGAAGGCCTGCCTCACCCGGCCACAGTCTTGCCAAGTTACCAGTGGAGAGCCATCAATCAGGATGTAGGTTGGCGAGGGTGATCTGGGACAGCGTGGAAATGGTGTGGGGATGGCAGGAGGCACCTCATGCTTGGTGAGCACCATCTCTGGCTTATGGTGTTTGCACTCAGATGACCTGGCGTTTGCAGTGTATTTTTGGCACATTTAATCTGACAAAAGCATTTTAAAATGGTCCTTAACAAGCCAACTATTTCCAAAATTTATTATCTTCAGTACTTTGTGATAATCACATAGATAATTTTAATGCAAGATTAATGCAATAATCAAAAGATAAAAACGCCCTTTGGTCTGCCATTAGCTGGTTAATATGCTGTGGTTTAAAACGTGCCCAATTTTATGCACTATAGAGGGTTTTACTTTCGATGCACTTTACAGCTTAAGGCATAAAAATATAGGGAGTTTTCATGGTCAATAAAGCCACAGCCTCCGTCACTCAATCACAGAAGAACCCGGTGTGAAGAGCCCAACAGTTCCTCAGAGATTTCTCTTGGGGCCAGCGGAAGGAGGGACGGTGCGGCTCCAGCATATGTGGAAGGCGGAGGGCAGGCCTGAGCAGCATCGGTCCCCGGTTAGGCTCTGCAACCTCTGAGACCTTGGGCCTCCATCTCATCTCGAAAATGGGGACAACAATATTTACATTCTGCAGGCCAGTTGGGAGGGTTTGACGAGATATGGGATGTAAGACACGCTAGACGTAGCTGCTACTCAGCCCCTACTGAGGGGATCCCTCCATCTTCCGACAGGAAGCCCCCGCCTGGGATGGCTAAGCTGGCACCAGTCTTTGGGTTTTAATTTCTCTATTCAATTTTGATCTAAACTCTCATTTTTACTTGAGTCTGAGATAGACCCTAAAGAGCCTCAACATTTCTGTCAAATTTTGGAGCTGGGCTGAGGTCTCAGAAACTGAGCTCTGGCACAAAGCTCACACTGGCCTGCCTGAGGCACGGACGGAAATGTTAGAAAGCTGATGTTGCCAAAGAGGGAAGTGAAATTCAGCCTTTGGTCAGGACCATAACCACTAGCTATGAGTCAGGCAGGTCCGGGGACGAAGCCCTCTGAGGTGCATGATGATGTGAGATTTCTACAAACATCTTGAGCACACAGACACTTCAGGGGAGGAGGCAGGCCAGGGGGCTGGCGGGGAGGGGTTGCAGACAAGCATGTGCTCTGAGGGAGCATTTGGTCCTGTAATGATTTCTCTGCACTTGATCTTCTGTCTCATACTCAAGTCATAAACCTGTGTTTCTGTCATCAATCTGCTGTTGTGAAAATTATTCTGATGTCAAACACAAGATTATAATTTTACTAGAATCCTTCTCACGTCTTGAATATTTTAATGCTTGCTATAAAAATAAGTCCAGGCCCCAGTGTGTGTGTGGGGACTGGGATATTTTTACCCACTCTGCAAATATCTCGGACTTGCTCCGTGGACCGCCTTGTCAAGTTCTGCCAAGTTAACCCTTGGCTCCCTGGAGTAAGTGGTGCAGAGTGGGCACTGTCCTCACCCTGCTCTCTGAGGAGCTTGGGTCAGTGTGGCCTGTGAACTTCCTTATCTCCCCATGCCACTATGTCTTCTCTTTAATTATCCTCCCAGGACGATTTCTTGGTGACCATGTGGTATTTGAACTACAGTATTCCTATGTAACCAGGGAGCTTTGGATAGTGGCAGTACACATTCCAGAATCTACCACACCTACCATTAAGTTCTGGTTCTTCACCAGAGTCACCATCCTGGCTAAGTCCCCTTTCCTCTGGGCATTTTGTTCATGCATAAATGGGAACTTTCAAGGGCAGATCAGCTGCTGTCACTACCATCTGACTGCTTCTCCCGGAAGAATATGACCAGAGGGGCTGCCGAATCTCTGCTGGATAATTTACACCCAAGCAGCTGCTTGTGGGTAGGGGCCATGCATCTACTTTGGCCATCACCTTACATGCAGGGAAACCGAAGCCCAGGGTGTAAGGTGACTGGCCAGCATCATCCAGCCCAGGGCAGGGGCACGTCTCCCTTCTCACTCCTTAGCCCTGCTTCTTCTACTTGTTCTGACGGTGTAGGATTCGCCTTAGGAAAGGGACATTGGGTTTGAGGAGTCCTGGTCAAGTTGTACCACAGAGACCAATGGTCTGGGTGGCACTATTCCCAGTCCCTGCCCTAAGAGCCGAGACCCATGAGGTGCCTCCTAGCCTGGATGCAGCCTCTCAGAGACCCAGCTTGCTGCCTGGCCCCTTCCTGGGTTGCTGTGAATCTGCCTGTTCACCCAGGGCAATGTCAGCAACTTACCCTTTCCAAACCCACAGCACCTCTGGGACTGTCAGCACACCAGTGTAATGTCTATTTTGTTCTGTCTCCCCTGACAAGGGAGAGCTCCCTAGGGGGAGAATAGCCTTGCTGAAGCAGCTGGAATGCTCACTTAGCACTGGGAAGGTACCTGGTACGATAGCCCCAGTTGGCATGCTTCAAACAGGTTGGGAAAATCACCTTGAGTGATTCAAAACTATTGTCACCTCAGCTGGCTCTGGAGCCTCAAGGGACTCCTGAGAGTGGTTGGGGAAAATAAATCGTGCATGAAAGAAAGAAGCAGAGGACCCCCTTTGGGGGCCGGAGGGAAGCTGGAGTCCTGCTTTGGCTAAGACAGGTGTGGCCCTGGCCAGAGACTAGCCCAGGTAGAACCCACCCTCCTACTTCTGGGTCAGAGGCCATAGTGAACTCACCTTGAGCACGATTTCACTGACTGTGGCTGCGTCCGACTCGAAGTAGAGGTGTTTATAGTCATGACTGCTTAGGTACGTAAGCTTAAATACTGCGTGACCTGGAGAAAGGGGAGGGCCCAGGTGAGTCACCATGGAGGGTGGGGTGCCCCGAGTGTCCTCCCTGATCCAGACTTGAGCAAGAACATGTGGAGACTGGATGGCAATGCTCCCTGGGGTGGCTGGGTTTCTCATCACAGGGTGGGTCTGAGGCAGACAATGAAGACTCACAGTCCAGGTCTCCTCTGTACAACGCTGAGGAGTGTGCCTCAGGAGGGCTTGCCTTCCTAACAGTGCTGCCTCTACAGCGTCAGTACCAAAGCACTGGTATCCTGAAAGCAGAAGGCTGAGTCACCCCAAATTATGACTCTGCAAGTAAAGTACCTGCGCTTACACTGAAATAAGCTAGCAATAGGACAGAGCGTGAGCAACAGTTGGCCTTGTCACTGTGCTGGCTCTTGCTGGGGCATAGCCTGGTTTGTCACTGCATGGAGGCTTCTCCTAAAGGCCATGAAGCAGACAGCAGCATGCAGCGCCTTGCAGTGCCACCGACCTGCGTTCAATTCTTTCCCACTCCTCTCCCTTCAGTCTTCACAACACCCTGCGCTTGGCCTATGTGCTCTCTTGCCGGTTCTACCAGATTTATGTGGCCTCTTTCCTGTACCTGTCACCATGACCTGCATAGGAAAGCTGTCTCAGATGCACTTCCTATGTGCAACAATGGCTGTCAGACCTGTTTCTTGTTTTGCCTGCCTGAAGCTGTGTCTATAATCCTGTACGTACTTGATGGCACACATATGCCAGACAGGTCCCCAGTTCTAAATAGAGCTAGAGATGTCAGTATGTGTGACTTTCACAAGGACAAGCTAAGAGGAGGCTCTTTAGGGTCCCTGGCCTCAGCCTGAGGGGAGACTCCCCAGTTGATCTATATATGCCTGGTCTTGGCACCTGAGAGACTCAGAGCCCTTCCAAGGTCTGAATTTCTCTTGTGCTGAAGCTGGTTTCCAATAATGGCAGCCAAAGGAACTCTGAGAACATGGTCCTGCTCACAGAGACCTGTCTAGACGGAGAGCTCTGGGCACATGACACCAGAGGCCTGCAGTCCCACCTCCAGCCTAAAGGCCCTTCTCAGCTTCACCAGCCCACACATACCTATTAGGCCTCCTCATCTATTGTCCTTTTAATTGAAGCAGCGGCTGGTCACATTATTAATTAATAATATGTCACCCACATTACTGTAAGTTCCCCTCCTTCCCGGAGAAATCTTCTGGGGACTTTATTTACAGTAGCTAATTTTTCAGATCTCCAAAAATAAACTGATATATGTTGTACATTTGTGGCCAGAAAAGTTGAGCGGCTGGTATTTTATCCTGGAAACATCATTACAAGATACTAATTGGGACTATAAATCCTATATTAAAAAAATTACTAATAATTTCTAAAAAGAAAAAAACCCTCACTTTCAGTCAGTTGACAAATTAAGCTTGATTTAAAATTGTGGCTCTAAAACATTAGAATTCTTGACTGGAAACTAATCAGTCCATTAATGTATAAATTGCTTGTTTCTGATAGGGAAGTCAATTTTCAATGCTCTCCCCCACTCAACACTAGAGTTTAGTGACGTCATCTTGTGGAAGAACAATGCAGAGCCATTTGTTGGTCATGCTGTGACCAAGCAGAACTATCTATGAAGGACACACAGGGCTGTGAAGGACAAACAGAGACATTCCCCCAGGAGGCCTTGTGTGGACACCTGGCCATGACACAGACATCATGGCCTAGGGCTAAGAAGGACCAGAAGGTCTTAAGGAGGCCTGCAGACCTGAAGCTTCGGGGTTCACTGACCACTCTGATAGGTGACCTCATGTATTGTCTACACCACCTGCTTCCACCTGTCACTGACAAACCCTCAAGGTGCAGGTGCTATGCTTTACTAGAGAAGCTGAGACATCCTGGACAATGTCCTGTAGATTTGGCAGAGTCAAATCCACACAGCACATGTGATGTGCAGTATGCACAGGCCCGAGAGTCTGGGAGAGAAGCCTGGACACATGCGACTCGTCAACTGTGGTAGGCACAGAGGGAAAGCCTGAGGCTCATCTGCACAGGAGCTGGGTGTAAACACAAGTTACTGTTAGCCAAGTCTCAAAGGCCAGAGGCTCATCGCGACCCCTGCATCCCCACACTGCTTTTTGCTGTTCTTGGAGTATGTGTGTTTCTTATCTGTCCTCAGTGCTTGCTTCAGTGCCTGACTGAGGGAGGGACAGATGGGAATGATGAAGGACTCACTCTCTTGGGCCTGACTGCTTGCCAATGGCAGTGAAAGCGGTCGTTCCACTGAGGGAACCTTTAGAGATGGCCCTGACCAAAACCCTGTGTGCTCTTGCGCAATCCTGGACTTGAGCTAACCATGTGCATCTGGGCTAAGGCTGATGGAGAGCCATAGTAGGCAGCCTCAGACCAGAGCCTGGGGTACAAGCACAGGTCAAGGACAGTAGCTGTGCTTTCTCTCTCGTCAGACTATAGGACTAGGGGATGAGTTGCCTCCAGGGGGTTCTGCCTAGAGGTCCCTCACTCCAGCCTCTGGGCTTTGCTGGCCCAGATTCTGGCAGAGGACAGATTGGGGAGGGGTAGGGAAGTGAGCAAGGATCAAGTGTGATGTGTGTTGTGAGGGTCCTAGCTACAGGTGCTGCCATGGAGACACGGAGGTGAGGAGACTTGTCAGCTACTGGAAGGAGCCCTTAGGGGCAGTTTTATGGAGGACAGAGGATGCTGGGTAAGGAAGGTACATGGTGCTGGGAAACGGGCTGTGGAGGGAGCCAGAGCAGACCAAGTTCCTGGGGTATAGACAGGAGGGACTGGCAACGCTCAGATGTGCCAACTGACCAGGAACCAGTAGGTCTGAAACAACAGGGACATACAAGATGAGTTGTATTTGGGGTGCTTCCCTAGGGCCCCCAGAGTCCAGGGGCAGAGAAGTCAATTGACATGGTGGTCTGTCCATGTGGCACTGAGCCAAAGAGAGGCAGAAAGAGTGCTGACTGAGGAGGCCACGGTGGGCAGGCCTGGACACAGGTGAACAAACAGAACTCACTTCTGATAATGCCATCTAGTTCCAAGCCCGAATATCCTAAGTGTGGCCCATTAACTGACATGAACCTGCCAATAAGGCACAAACAGCTTAAGCTACATGGTGACCTTTCAACAGCGGCATCAGAGCCTGGACTGAGAAGTCTGCTCTCGCATCCCCTGTTGCCATAGCACCTCAAGGCTCACCCTGAGCAAGGGACCAAATGGCACCAAACGACAGAGGGAGTCCGTGAGGCTTAGGTCTTAGGGACCAGGTGGGTAGGTCACCCTTGAAGATTTAAAGAAAACCACCAGTCCTCATAGAAAGGGGAAGCCACAGCTGCGCTCCATCTCTTGTAAAAATGTCAGCTGAGGAAAAAAAACTATTCATAGAAATCTAGTATTCAGTTAGTTCAAGGCATTATGTTCCACTTGAGAATTAGGGCGGGACAGAAGCTTGAGCCACTGCAGAAGATTGTCAGATGTGGGCTGCAATCCCAGCCTAGGACGCTGGGAGGCGCTGTCTCCAGCCGCTCAGGCACCTGTGGTCTCAGCAAAGGCTCTCACAGAGACAGGATTCTAGCTTGTAACATCTACATGGAGAAGGGGCTCAGTGAAGGTGATTCTTACAACTCCTGGAACTGTTATCTGGGTAACACACTCATTGTTTTGAAGGTACTGCTTTTAGTTGGGTTTCTCTGAGCATTTACAGGGCCATAGGAATAAAATGCAACATAATGGGGCAAGTGTGGCACCTAGGCATTGGTCACATGCTCAGGGGAGCCATTGAGACGGTACATCTGCTTCTGAGTGTTGAAATGAAAATCTGCATATGTAAATGTGTCTCTACATCCACATATTTTTAAAGCAAACCAGAGAAGATGGAATAGAGCCATAAGAGGGCTAATTACAACCCAAATGTCAGCAGTGGAGACGTGCAGCCTCTCTGTTGTAATCTGTCTTCTGTATGCATTTTCACTAAAACAAAGCTGCAGTGTCTCAGAATGGGACAGCTACAAGACCCTGCTGAGGAAGGAAGTACTCTTGGGGAGAGAGAGAGAGAGAGAGAGAGAGAGAGAGAGAGAGAGAGAGAGAGGAAGAGAGAGGAAGAGAGAGAGGAAGAGAGAGGAAGAGAGAGAGGAAGAGAGAGAGAGAGAGAGAGAGAGAGAGAGAGAGGGAGGGAGGGAGGGAGGGAGGGAGGGAGGGAGGGAGAGAGAGAGAGAGAGAGAGAGAGAGAGAGAGAGAGAGAGAGACTCTGACTGCTGAGACACCTGTCAGCACCAACAGGGTGATGCCTGGCATGAGCCCACAGTCATCTATGCATAAAATTCCTGGTGGCATCCTTGCCCAGAACACCAAAAATGAGCTGAAATCTCTTTCATTTCTTTTCAATTATAAGAATTATAAAAACATTAAAATTGCTCAAAATTCAGAAGATAAAGGAAAACCTACATATCTCACATATAACCCCAGCAACAATGTGGCGACACCCACAGGTGCCTCTAGTTGTCTTCACGTTTTCACATGGTTAACTGAAATTTAAGGAGTTTGCTGTTGTTTTGTTTGAGATAAGATTTCACTGTGCAGCCCTGGTTGTCCTGGACCTCGCTGTGACCTTGAACTCAGAGATCCACCTGCCTCTTCCTCCTGAGTGCTGGGATTAAAGATGTGCTACCAACATCTGGCTTTTTTTTTTTTTTAATTCCAGCCCACCTCTGCTGTAATCTTTTCCGTGACCTCTCTTTCAATGGCTGCATGTCATCGCAATTGGTGACAGGAACTGTGCTTCACTATGTGCTTCTGCTGGCACCTTGGGAATAGCACTTAGGAAATAGCACCATAAAGGAGGCCCTTGGATTCTCCCTTTATGGCAGAATGGACAAGAGTCGGCTTCTGGGGTTAGGCTTTCTCTAATTCCTCTTGTCTAAAAGGGTATGAAAAACCTCACTGTACTTCTTGGGGGAAATGGACAGTAGCACACTTTCTTTTGGTC